GCCTATCTAATCAGCAAAAACCAAAATCAAAGGAAAAAGCTGAGGTTGTATTTTATTACCTTACTCTACCGCACCAAAAAGAATTGAAAATCAATGCTACCCCCATTTACCCTACAGTTTTTCCTCTTCTTCTCCTCCTCCCCTATTTTCCCACTGTTTTCATTTTTCTTTGTATTTCTGTAGTTTGATAAATTAATAAAATTTGGAGAGAATAATTGTTTTGAGCAGGTCTTAAAATCTGATTCCAAAAATGTGCTTCAGAATGCAGGTGGGCACAAGGGTTCTGTGCAACCCTTTAAAGCAGCAACGTATTATTCCAGGATAGTTGGAAAGACACATCTGCTTAAGAGGGTGCAATAAGATGCTGTTGAGTGTGCCTCTATGCATTCTGAAATATCTTTCTGGAATTAAATCCAAGGCACTGCACAGCTCTAATAGGTAAAACATGTTAAAACAAAAGCTAAGGTTGCTCTTGTAATACACGCATATGCTTTTACTTATATGTATTTATTTATACAGTGATCTTAGTTATTATTAACCTTAGCGATTATCTTTTTTCCTCTGTAGGATTTTTATATTATGCTAAAAGGTAATTTAGCCTGCAGCTAACTCAGGTTTCTCAAAATGTCTGAAGGATACCAAACTTTGTACAGAGCCTGCTAAAATCCAAAACAAAGGGGCAAAGTAGGATGTAATGATACTTGTTAACCTGTGTCTCTTTCTCTTTGCTTTAATCAGAAATGGCAATTCTGTAATAAGGAAGCCTGCACTGATCTAAGGAAGCTGAAATCTACACTCAGCCATATGGTTCACTGAAAACTTTGGATCGGTAACTGTGCTTCAAGGAGAGCCAACTGGGACTTCTGGTTTGAAGGGCTTCGGCGACAGACAGAAATCCACGATCGTGTGTGGTTTCTGTCTGGGCTCGCTGCTGGAGCACCCCGAGCTGGCTGGTTTTGGGGCTAAGCCACCCCGTAGAGGTGGTGAAGAAGGGGGAGACTGCCTGCAGGGTTGAGGAGAGCCGCATCTCTCCTCCTCAGCTGGCCATTACTCCCTTTCCCGAAGGCGGTTGCAGCGGTGGTCAGAAATGGCCACCACAAAGAAGAACTTGATCGGAAAAGAATGTGCAGGAGGAAGATAAGAAGTGAAAGTTTTGGCTGACTGGGTTAAATTGTAAAAGCAGCAGCCAAGGTACCCTGGAATTTAAACTTACAAAAAATAACATCGCTCCCAAAGAAGAGTCGGAAGCAGCGAAGGAAAGTGAAAAGGGAAAGGTTTGGCTTTTTTCTTCTTCTCTCTCCTTCCCTATACTGACAACTAAGAGACTTAAATAAGAAATCGGAAAAATCCACTTTGACATCAATAGGCAATTAAGCTGAAAATAAAACAAAATGCCAAAGGGATAATAAAGATTTCTGGACATTAAAAACTTTCTTTTTCATAAGCAGGAAGGGAGAGAAAAAGAATAAGGGCAGGATTTGGAAGAGGGAGGAGACTGCCTGGAATTAAAAAGAATCTAAAGTAAAACTTCAACAAGACTTCTAAAAGATACATTTTAACTGAAACTTTGCAACTAAATAGTAACCCCAGGAAGAGAAAGTGAAAAAAAAGAGCAAAAAAGAAACAGCTTGCGTGTATTTGGATTATTTGGTGATCTTTGGATTTTTGGTTATTATATTTGAATGACTAAAATCAACTGGGTGGTTGTTTACAAATTTATACAATGGCACCACTTCTGGATGAATTGAAAATGGAACTTAAAAAGTACAAAGAAGATGCACAAGAAGGGAAGGGTTCTTTTGGCTTCGTCTTTCAATTTTTAGAAATGGAGATTTGGAACTATAAGAAACAAGAAAAGACTGCAAAACAAGAAGACTGGGACAAAGAAGAGGCCATCTTTAATTAACAAGTAATTCTATGTGGGGAAGAAAAAGGAAAGGGGGGAAAGAGAATTGAGAATTTAAGACTTAAAAAAAACAACCAAAGAAAAGAAAAATAATTCAAAAAATAATATAATACTGGAAAGCAACAGAAAAGGGGAATACAGAAGAGAGAAATAGAGGTAGAGAGACAAGTGGGTAAAAAGGGGAGAGAGAAGAGAGGGAAGAAGGAAAGGAAAAGAAGTTACAAAGGACTGGAGCAAGATATAGAGAAACAGGACCTAATTAGAGATAATGGGTGAAAATCTAACTGAAAAAGGGATTCTGTAAAGGTACATAAGATTGTATTGTTATATTAGTAATAGAAATAATTTTAGAAAATTGGAAACAACGTATGATTAAAATGAGGGATAAAATAGTGTAATTTAGTGAAATGTTTGTGAATAAAATAAGTGAAATAAAATAAATGAGAAAATTGAATTAGAAAGGAACGGGAACATTTTAATTAGTTAATATTTTATAAAATATAAGTGAAGAGGGGGGGAATTAACTATGGAAAGCTTATAATTGTTCCCATAGAAGTATGATATTTAATTGAAAAGTAATGTTAAAGATGTTAAGACTCTAATGAATATTAATATTAATGATAGAATTGAATTGGAATGGAATGTTGTTTTAATTATATACATTTATAATTTTTTTCTTTTTTTAAGAATACAGTGTGTATTTTAAGAATGTACCAAGCAGAATCCGAATGGAAGTTATGTATTATATTGAATGTTACAACTTTAGGGAAAAGATATAAAGGCGTCATACTCCAACCAGTAACTACAGGAGAAATTTTGTTTAATGAGAAAAGATAATAGATAATTGAAACAGGACAGACAAAAAATATAAATTCAATGATTGAGCTATGCAAAAAATGTGAAATAGTAATAAGATATGGAATAGAATATAAAAATGAGCATGAACCTGAATTTGTGTCTGTACGAAGAAATGTAACCCGGGATTATGCTGCTTTCAAAAAAGATATTTTATTTGTATTTTTTTTCTCTTTGTGAAAACTCAAATAAAATTTACAAAAAAAAAAAAAAAGGAGAGCCAACTGAAAGAGCTGGGAAGGAGATATGACACCTTGAGCTCTAGGGCTCATTTGTAAACAACATAACTCTAATTCTTTATTTCTGCAGTGAGTTATATGTTCCTCCAAACGCCACAAATTTATGCTGTTTTTTAAGGAACAAAATGTAGTTAGTAGAAGGATAATAAGCAGTGTAGGGGCCTTGGTGCTCTCTGATATTTTCTTGCATTTTTTGTCTTGTTTATTTGTAAAAAAGTAACAGTAAAGGTTCCCCTCGCACATATGTGCTAGTTGTTTCTGGCTCTAGGGGGCGGTGCTGATCTCCGTTACAAAGCCGAAGAGCCAGCGCTGTCCAAAGACGTCTCCGTGGTCACGTGGCCAGCATGACTAAACGCTGAAGATGCACGGATCGTTGTTACCTTCCCACCAAAGTGGTCCCTATTTTTCTACTTGTATTTTTTACATGCTTTCAAATTGCTAGGTTGGCAGAAGCTGGAACAAGTAACGGAAGCTCACTCAGTTACGTGGCACCAGGGATTCAAACTGCCGACCTTTCTGATCAACAAGCTCAGCATCTTAGCCACTGAGTCCCTTATTTATTATTAGTATTTGTATCCCACCTTTATTATTTTTACAAATAGTTCAAGATGGTGAACATATCCAACACACCTTCCTTCTTCTCCACAACAGCAACCCATCAGTGAGTTGGGTTGGTCTGAGAGAATGACTGGTCCAAATACACCCTGTTAGCTTTCATGGCTAAAGCAGCACTTGCTCTCCCATTTTCTAGTCTGGCGCTCTAATTACTAGATCAAACTGACTCTATAGTGCATTGCACTGATGATGTTACTTAGTCAGACAATGAACTGTCTGCAAGAACACAACAAAGCTCATAGGGTATTAAGGATCCCACTGTCCAACTCTGACCTACAAATGTTGTTTTCTATTGATAATGAGCAATATCAGAAATCAAATTGGCCTTTGTCCACTTAGTGTTGCCTTTTCCCTGGAAAACTGGATGCAGATCTTCTATTTGTTTATTTGAGTCTATATTTATGTAATGAACTATTGTCCACAGAATGGCAGTTGAGCAAAGAGCAGTATGACCAAAGGAATTCTAGGATCTAGATGATGATGAAAATGATGATTGGTGGATTTTATTTCTCAATTTGTATTTTTCCTTCATGCTTAGAGCACACTTGAAAGGGTTAGTAGTAACAATCAATCAATCAACAAACATACAATAAACATGAGCAGTTAATATCTGACAACAGCATTAACCAATCTGAATTAAAATGGTTTAGCTATATGATCCAATATATATTTCTTTCATTGCCACAATATGAGTTCTTTGTAGATACTTCTCAGAGCCTACTTAAATGCACTTCTTTGGCATTAGGTCTGCTGTGTTATGAGGATTTATATCATGTAGTATTTTACACACGTAGAAATCAGAATACAATTTTTATGCATTCAGGCATCTGGGAATCTCTCAAGGCTATTTCATAGTTCTTGACTGGATTACTGATTCCTTCAGCCACTGAATGCAAGAGATTGAAATAGTTGCATGCTGAAGGAGCAAAATGTTATCCTAAGTGCATATTAAATTAAATTTTATAAATTTTTATTTATTATTTCTGAGACTTTCCTGTATTCTGCTCCATTTTATAAAACCCATGCACAAGGAAAGATTGGTTTATTTAACACTCAACAACTGTTCTATCATTCAGATAAAAATCTGAATGTAATAAGAAGATTCAGAAGCTTTCTTGCTGATGAAATCCAATATATTTTATGAAAAACATAAGGGACAGACTACAGGTCAGTGGTAATGAAAGAAGAATCTTCCCTACTCTGGCCATCAATGCCTGTAAGCAAGAAACAATGGTCTACATAAGAGTTCCAAATTATTATTGGGAACAAGAGTTGATGAATTTATTCAAGTTTCTTTCCAAATCTTGGCAATCATCTTAACAATTACTTCTGCTTAAATTGGACAAGCTACTCTGATTTATCCAGCTTACTGTTATGATTAGTTATGTTCTTTAAAAAAATCTAGGAAGGAATATGTTTATTCCACATAACTATTATAAAATAACTATTATAAAAATGGCATCTGCTTAAAATTTTGTATGTGTTTTCATAGGTACATCAGACCACTGAAACAGACTCCAATGTAAGTCTATATAGCTCTGTCCATACAGTCCGTCTTTTTCCCAAATTCAGCCCTTCTAGAGTACAAGCATCCAAACAGATACTCTTTAGTACTTCCAGAAAGGGCTATGAGTTTTCTTTGTTTGATTTTGACCAGCAGGAAAAGAAACTCCAGAGTTTCTTCCTGTTCTGTTCACTTCATCAAAATCCAATAAAGGAATTAAATGAAGCGACACTATTATATACGGTTACCTAGATCTTGACCTAGTAATTGATTTGATATCCTTCTTGTCATCATCTAACTTCTTGTCCTCGGAAGCTTTCGTGTCCTGGAGGTTCTCATCTCCTTCGTCATCTGATTTGATTTCAGAACTCCCTGAAGATATGCTTTGCCCTTGAAGTCCAGTTGGCATGCCTGACAAGAAATGAACAGAAGCACAGGTCTGTATGCGGGCATTCGTACAACACATGTATGAACATGCATATCCCAAATAGTAACAATGTTTAAGAGTTGCGTGGGTGCTACACTAACAACCTACTTGCATTGCAAAAAGAAAAAAAGACAGTCTATTTAATGAAAACAGCTATTAAACAGCAATAGCACTTAGATTTATATACTGCTCCATGGTGCTTTCAGCTCTCTGTGAGCAGTTTACAATGCCAGCATATTGCCCTCAACAATCTGGGTCCTCATTTTCCATTGTTTCAAGGATAGAAGGCTGAGTCAACCTTGAGCCGGTCAGGATCGAACTCAGTGGGCAGAGTTAATCCACAATACTGCATTCTAACCACTGCACCACCATGACTCTTTTAAACCTGTTTCTAAATAGTTTTGAAAGAAAACTATTAAAATAATAGAAAATAAATTAAATAAATATAGTTTTAAAAGAAAAAAAATTGCTTTCTATGAAAAACAGTTTTCCGTCTGTCGCTGGTGTAGAGTTTGTGGTAGGAGCAGTATTTTGGCTAGAAATACACTTGTTTCTTCCGCTCTTTTCTAGAAAAAGAAGAGAGGCACCATGAAAAGGCTTCCATGAGTATTTCTCACATCTTACTCAGGAAAGTTCCAGAGCTACAGGTAGAGATGAACAGACACTTTCCATTCCATTACTGTTGCCTTCTTTCTTTAACATTGAAAGTGGGTTTCATGAAGTCATATTCAATGCAGATTTTTTTTCTTTTTGCACTTCTTCATCTTCTCATCATCTGATAATCCCCCCCAAAACAAGAAGAACTTGCTGCAAGCGAAAATACTTCCCTCTAACATTTAAAAGTAAGGTAACAATCACCACTACCACTGCTGTCTTCAACTAGCTTGAGAACCATTGTTCTACAGCGCTTTTCTTGAACAAAGTAATTAGATCTCTTTTTGTAAACAAGTCTCTCAAATTCCATCAGGAGTTTCATTTGTGCCTGTTCTGTTGGAACAATCCCAATTTTTTTTAATCTATGGAACAGACTGGCTGGTTGGGAATGCTAAAAGTGTTAGGGGAAACTGGAGATTAGGTAATTCCTATTTGTTTCTTTTAGAGCAAGTATGGGAGACCCATAGGCCCACTGATTTCTCTTCTGTAGCTACCAATTGCCAATATTCAGCAATATTGTTTTTCATCATTTTGTCTCAGGATGTAGAGAGGCAACCCCAACAATGGGAAAATGAACAGTCCCCACCAACACCTCACCACAAATTTCAATCCTGCTGGTCTGCTTCCAACTAGTGAGCCATTGTTCCCTTTGAAAGTCCTACAGGTAGGCCTTGATATATAACCATTCGAACTTACAACAGTGCTGAAACAACGTGACTTGCAACCAGTCCTCACACTTATGATCGTGGCAGAATGCCTGCCGTCATGTGATTGCAATCTGGGTGCTTGGCAACCAATGTGCAACTTATGACAATTGCAATATCCTACAGTCAGGCAATCACCATTTGCAACCTTCCCAGATGTTTTGATGGCAGCATGATGATTGCATTTCATCCAATCAATCATTCAATGAAACAATCAATCAATATTCTGCTTTGCTTTGATCCCAATTTCAATCTTAGGCACTGTTTTTGAAGATTTCATCATGTTTCAGAAAGAATTATTTAAGTGCAGAGCGAAATAAATGTGATTGTGCATGCCGGGATATTAGGTTTAACATGCCACCTTTAATAATTCAAATAATAATTCAAGCCGCATTGATAACTAATCTGGCAAGTTATCATCAATTTACCTCTCCATATAAAAAAAATCAATTTACCTTTCCACAGATAAAAAAAATCAATTTACCTCTCCATCTATACGGGTCTTTCAGTAGGGGTGTGATTTGAATACAGAACAAGTCCACTCCTTCTCTGTGGCTACCCTCTTGACATATGAAGCCCGCTGTCATAGAATTGGTAGTATAGATCAGGGGTCTCCAACCTTAGCAACTTTAAGACATGTGGACTTCAACTCCCAGAATTCCTCAGCCAGCAAAGCTGGCTGAGGAATTCTGGGAGTTGAAGTCCACATGTCTTAAAGTTGCCAAGGTTGGAGACCCCTGGTATAGATTATATCGATCAAAGCACATGACCAAGCAATATTGTTGTCAGTGTTGGTATGCTACCAGTTAGGAGTGGTTCGCCCAAACTGGTAGTAAAAAAAGCCTCCAACAGTCAGCTGAGAGGAGAAAGAAGAGAAAAGCGTAGGATCGGCCCTCCTACCCGCCCGGTGCTTTTCTCTTCTTTATCCTCTTAGCTGACTGGTGCTGCAGGCCTCAGCTCGGAAACCTGCGCACGTGTGTTAGGTGCACACGCATGTGCGCGTGATCACCGAACTGGCAGTGGAAGAGGTAGATTCCCACTGCTGGCTGTTGTAGATACCTCGGTAAGGATCCGGAGGCTGATTTAAGTCAGGAGATGTTGCAGACTGCACTGGCAGCTGTGGAACAGGAACTTGGTTTGGCACAAGCGAATGGCTGCCACGGAGGCCAACGGCATCTTCACGATGAGCCCCAACCTGCAAGAGAAGAAGGAAGGAAAGGTGTAAAGAGGACCGTTTTAAGCCATTGGGTCTCCTACTCAATAGCTTGGGGAGATGCTGGAAAGAAACACAGGCATTTATACATCATGGCAAAGTTTCCTTGTAGCTTTTCACTAGAGGGCGCCGAGGCACTGTGATAGGTATATATTGTATGTATATACAAAAAAACACTTAACAGTCAGTAAGGCGCTATGAAGCACATTTAGTGACAAACACAGCAAAGGAGCTCAGGCAGGTAAAACATCAAATTGTCTCTCCCAGGGTAGTGCAATAGAGAGGCTGATTCGTACCCATCTGTCTTCTATCATGTCCGCCAACAGATCTGACAATTATCTTAATGCCCATATGCTTAATTGTGGGCTTCTCAATTCCCTCACTGCTATCAGAAATCCTGCAGGAATTTCAATTTGGCATCCAACTTCCCTTTTAAGGGATAGGATTCTTGGGCAAGCCACTTTCTCCCTGTTTTTTCTCTACTTTTATAATGCCAGCTAAGCTTCTGACAAGGCAACTAGTGAAGCATTGCAAAAACTCCCTACTACACGATTTGTAGTAGTAGTGGTAGTAGCAGTACTAATAGTATCATCATTGCCATCCCATCCATCCCCCTGGCTTTTCAGAAACCAGAAGCCCAGATCCAGAGTAAATTAATCTTCTCTATTCTATCATTAGCCATAAATTCCAGCTCCAAGCTGGAGATGCTCTTGCCAATATCATGACTCCAGATAATATATCTATCAAAATTTTATTAACCACACCACTACGGCCATCATTGTAGGCGTGAAGGTGTCGGGGTAATGGCGCTGTTGGCATAATTGATGGAACTAGCTAAATGGAAACATTTTTTTGTTTTCTGTTTTTGTATGGCACAATGTTCAGTGTGTCTGTTAAGTTAAGCTGGTTACAGGATTAAGAAAAGATACTTAAGGGCACTATGTTATTTTTTTACACAATGCAGGCTGTACTCAATACGATAAGACAACTTACTCAAGGTTTAGCCATTCAAAACACTGACTCAATAGAAGCGCTATTTATGTACCACTGCCACTATTATTGCTGTTGCCACTACAGCTATCACCAATGTGTCTACAATGATTAGGTGTTGTACAAACATTAAACAACAAGAAAAAGCTCTGCTTGCAAGCCCTCAGTAAGCAGACGTATACAGGAGGAAGAGGGGAAGGGACAACTAGGAGAACAAAGCCAATCTGATAGGCTGTGATGGTGAGATGCATTATGGTAGGAGCTGCTGTTGAAAAATCAGATGTAATGGTTCAAAGAACTGAAAAGGAAAGAAACTTTGGGTGGAAAGAAACAGGATAATCCTTAATTTAGCCAAAATACTGGGTTCAAGAATAGGAAAGACCCCAAAGGGTCTTGTAAAGTTAGAAGATAAAATAGATGTTTGACCAGCCATCTTGCATGGCAATTAGGTGGGAAGAAAGACTTTGACTAAGCACGTTAATGAAGACCTCAAAAACTTCTTGAAAGGTTGGTCTCATCATCTTCAACTATCAGAAAACTCAAGGAGGTAGCAGTGTGTAGAATTCTGCTATGTTGTACTTAAACAAGGGAATACTCTTAAAATCATTCTATGTTCTTTCAAACCAGTCTTCTCTAATGTCAAATTCTTTTGATGTGTTCTTCCTTCCTTCCTTCATTCCTTCCTTCCTTCCTTCCTTCCTTCCTTCCTTTCTTTCTCTCTCTCTTTCTCTTTCTCTTTCCTTCCTTTCTTTTTCTTTCTTTTTGTCTGTCTGTCTTTCTCCCTCTCTCTTTCTTCCTTCCTTTTTTACTCCTCCCTCCCTCCCTTCCCTTCCTTCTTTCTACTGTATGTTGCCCATTTTCATGACTTGTGTTGGGCCACAGTCCCATTATCCCAGCCACTGGTTACACTAATAGGAATTGCAAACATCAGGTTAATTGCAAATATTAGGTTAAGGTCCAAGCATGCATTTCTTTTAAAAATGCAATAATTATTTTTCACACTTTTATTTTGAACATGAAGACCTTGATTTCTTTGCATTCATTTTTTTAGTCAAACACGTCCTCATCTTAATCCTACTTTGGATGGTTTCATTATAGACCAGTAGTAGTTACATAGCACTGTGGGCCCAACTCCAAAGAGCTGTTGTGGAGTGCAAATGTGGCACCAGGTGCATCTTTTCCTGGACAGGAAGCTTCCCTCTGCTCTTGGGAAAAGATGTGGTGGCTTGCTTGCTTGCTTCCATCAAGGCAATTCTAGCAGGACAGGTAGTCCTCGGCTTATGAACACACGTGAGCCCCAAATTTCTGTTGTTAAGTAAGACATTTGTTAAGTGATTTTTGCCCCATTTTACAACCTTTCTTGCCACACTTGTTAAGTGAAACACTGCAGTTAGTAACCTGGTTGTTAAGTGAATTGGGCTTCCCCATTGACTTTGCTTGCCGGAAGGTCGCAAAGGGGGAACATGTGAGTTGGGACACAGCAACTATCATAAATGCGAACCAGTTGCCAAGCATCTGAATTTTGATCATGGGGATGCTACAAAGGTTGTAACTGTGAAAAACAGTCATAAGTCACCTTTTCCAGTGCCGTTGTAACTTTGAATGGTCACTAAATTAAACTGTTGTAAGTCGAGGATTACCTGTATACCAAATCCAATGCAATAAGAACAACACACAATATACAATAAAAGAAACACACACACACACACGCACACGCACACACACGGCATGCGGTGGCTCAGTGGCTAAGATGCTGAGCTTGTTGATCAGGAAGGTCGGCAGTTTGACAGTTCGAATCCCCAGCGCTGTGTAACGGAGTGAGCTCCCGTTACTTGTCCCAGCTTTTGCCAACCTAGCAATTCGAAAGCACATAAAAAATGCAAGTAGAAAAATCGGGACCACTTTGGTGGGAAGGTAACAGCGTTCCGTGCGCCTCTGGCGTTTAGTCATTCCGGCCACATGACCACAGAGACGTCTTTGGACAGCGCTGGCTCTTCAGCTTTGTAACAGAGATGAGCACCGCCCCCTAGAGCCAAAAATGACTAGCACGTATGTGTGGGGGAACCTTTTCCTTGAACATCACACACACATACATACACTACGGATGCAATAATTAATATCATTTTCTTGACGTTCTAGCCAGTTCCAAAGTATGAGAAACATCATAGAGAACGCCCACTTTTGATCTTCCTCTTACCACATCTGCAACAGACCTTCTTTGTATTCTCAATTGATCCAGATTTTGTAATACTAACAGCCTAAGCCATATAGGGCTTAAACCAGCTCTTGAATTAGCTTTAAAGAATTTTAGAGAGATGCTGCACTTGCTTCCTAAATGCTGAAGGACCTTTGGGGGATCAAGTCCAAAGTACTTCACACTCTTATAACCATTTTTACTAATATTCTGAATTCACCAACTCAGAAACAAGTGTAATTTTACGTGCATACATACAATGAGCAAAATTAAAAACACAGATAGATAATGATAAAGGATGATGAATGGTACTTTATTTCAATGTAATTTCCTGTTAAATCTAGCATTTAACCCATTTATTTCTTACGCTGGATCTTCAAGAAAAAAGAAATGAGGCATAATGACATAAAAGGGCAATCCAATGTGACAATTAGAGACTCTATCTAAGCCTTGTCATTCTGGTTGACAAATAAAACTTAAACCAGAGTTTCTTAATCTTGGCAAGTTTAAGACGTATGGACTTCAACTTCCAGAATTCTGGGAATAGAAGGCTACATGTCTTAAAGTTGCCAAAGTTGAAGGATATTGAGTAAGGCATTTAACATTCCAAACAATTATCTCTTTCAATTCATGGGTGGAGGTAATGTAAGAATTTTATCTGGTTCGGTCTTTCATTGTGACACAAACTGGGAGTGTGGCAGAGAAAGGAACATATTACTCGGGCAAGGATTTTTGAGAGATGTAAAAACTTTCCAGAAGTTTTAAAGGTATAGCACCTCAAATTAAATCTTCTAAAGAAGATTTCAAAATTTCAGGTTTTGAGAGGATGGTTTTCGGTGATGAGAAAGTTATTTAGATTCCAGAATTAAGAATAGGAGGCAAAGGAGATCATACACAGCTATTTTAATCGGATTACCTGCCAGATTTGATCTGGTCTGGGGAAAAAAAATCTGAATGGCCACTTGATAGGAGAGCATGGAGAAACAGAAAATAGCTTTTGTTTCTATCCAGTAGTCATTCAGGTATCTATGGGCCAAATCACCATACAACAGGGACAAAGAACTAATCCAACCATAAGCTGCCATTACTAAATAAGGCAGCCCTCATCCTATACCTGTTCATTTGAAGTTTATTACTGAAGTTTATTACTTACTTAAGGACTGTACACTTTTCTCTGTTTTTCCCCCCATTTCATTTCATCCCACTTTCCAAACTATCAAAATTATTTTGATTATTGTTTCTATTCAGTATACCATTAGCTATCCCAGGTGATTCCATGTCATCTGCAAATTTGATAAGCATTCCTTCCACCTCTTCCTGAAAATTTCAAGAGTAGAAGATACCTCTCTCCAAGGTGATGCACAACCATGAGCATCTGAATATGTTTTTTCAAGCCAGATATGCAGGTACTTAATTGTCATGCTGTTCATACCATGAAATAAGAGACACCTTGGTGGAAATTAGGCTTCTACCTCCCTGAAGATGGAAGGGAAGGTTGGGAGGGGAAGGTTTTAATTTTTCAACAGATTATACTCGTAAGTATTTTGAAAAAAAAATTGAGAGGGAAACAGAGAAGAATTGAAGAATGCAAAGAGTTTCCTTGCATTTTAAGAAGTGATCTGCCAAAGTGATATGGTTTACATCAAGGATCTTCAAACTTGACAGCTTTAAGACTTGTGGACTTCAGCTCCCAGAATTCCTCCTCCAGTCATGTTAGCTCAGGAATTGAGGGAGTTGAAGTCCACAAGTCTTAAACTTGTCAAGTTTGAAGACCCTTGGTTTACATGAAGTGAAAAAT